CCCCATCGCCCGCCCCGGAGAGGAAGCAGCTCCCGAAGCAGCTCCCGCAAGGCGTCGAGGGGGCCGCGCGGCTCCCCCCGGGTCTCCGCTATCTTCAACTAAGCCCTCAGATGCTTTACCCAGGTAGACTCTTCATCGGTCGGTCGGCCGGTCGGTCCGCCCGCCCAACTTCCCACTTGTGCGGAGAGGGTGGAATCCGACGACCTCCCCTCGGTACGTTTCTACTCACCCCGCGATGGTTGTTCCCAATGCCCGCTAGCTAGCTAGTCCGCCGCCGATCGCCCTCGCCCTGCTGCCGCCCGCGTTCACCTGCTTCCCTCCGAGCGAGGCGAAGGGAGGGATCCTGCCCTCCCTCCACCTCTTGAACCAATGAGAGCTCTTCTCTTGCCTCTGAGGGGCGGGGCTATGAATATCGGAGAACTACGATTCCCGATAGGCTCAGCGCCAACTAGAGGAACAGGCCTTGAAGGGTAGGGTGCGGCCTCCTCCATCCTCTGAACTGGTGCCTAGGTTGCCATGGTGACTATGGATCGGGCACTGGGGCCTCTTCGAGGACCAAAGACGGCCCCCCTTAGCGCAGGGCGTACTGGGAGGAGAACCCCTCCCTGATGTTGAGGGCTGCATCTAGAGTAGCCTGGACTGCAAGCTGAAGTTAGAAACAAAAAGGAGCAGGAGAGACAATAATGGGACTATTAAGCTACACATGTTAACCGGTGGGAACTCCTTTCTTCATGCTGAACAGGAGTTGGATCAAACAAAGCATTATCTTATTTGGTTTTTTGTTTTTGTTTTCTACAATTGTGGTTAATATGGTAGCTTGGCCTCAATTGGAACTAGTCTTGTCACTTGTATTTTAGTATTGATAGCTTTCTGTTCACTCTTTATGAATGCATGAATCTGCATGTCCCAAAGCAATGACTTTTTTTTAGAGAAAGTAGGTAAGACATGCAGCCTTTTTTTATCCTTGTTGTCACCATCAAATACTTTGCATCTCAGTCTCCCTAATACATAAAACTCACTAATAGCATACTCCAGATTCCTCAAGCCCCACTTACTCCAATGTGTGTGACAGTAGCATATCAATACACGCCAAAAATGGGATTTCTCAGTTGAAAAAAAAAGTTTTCATCTTCTGTTTGAATTGAATTGGATTGAATTGAATTTGTTAGATGTGTTATGGCCGTCCACTCCAGAATACTGTGGCTATTAAGTTCTTCTCTTGACCGTGAATAATAATTGTCAGCAAATTTGTATTTATTTGTCCTTTCAGAGAAAATTTATCATTTTTGCAAGCACAGAATAAACAGGACCTTTCGATGATACTACTACTACTACTACTACTACTACTACTAATAATAATAATAATAATAATAATAATAACCACCACCTTAAGAAAAAATCCTAGAAATTTTAGCCCATCCATTTTTTTCCTGTCATCATCCTGCATTATCCCTGGTGAAATAAGTTGGCTTCCAGTCATCAGAATATTGTCCACCTCAGTTCTAGCTGTTTTTGTATATATTTCACACAATCATAATTTGAAAAGGGCAGGCATTCCCAAAGGGGTGGGTTGGCTTTTTAAATTAGTGAAGTAAGAATGCATCAGCTAGATCCTTAACTGGGCTGTTTATTAAAAAGTCAGCAGATATTCTGCTGAAATAGCTGTAATGACATCCAGTTGGTTTCCAGGCTCAGTTTGAAGTGTTGTTGATCTCTAAAGTTTGTAACATTTTAGATCCAGGAAAGATGAAGGATATTCTTATCCTATATGAACCAGTTGAGTTGCTAAGATCACCCTTGACTGGAGGCTCACTTAGGAATTCCTAAATTCTGTTTAGTCACAGCCAGGAATAGTCTTGATATTTGCATATGTGTTTTACATGTTTTCTCCTGGCAGAAGAAGATATGTCTTAACTTAAGGGTGGATAGGCAGAAATAAATAAGAGTAATAGACTTGGTAATAGTACTGATGTGATTCTGTACAGTATTGCTGTCATGCAGTCATTTATGTTATTGCACTGTTCTGTCAATTTCATGGATTATACTTTTTCTTTCAATTTTATGCTGACCAATTTTGCCATTTAATTTTAAAACATTTTTTAAAGTTCTAACAGTTATCTTGAACTATTTTAAAGAACAGTATGGTATTGTTCTTTTAAAACTAGAAAAATCCACAGTAAACAAGTAAGATGGCTATGGCAAGCATCACCCATGGTATGATGAACACGCAAAGAGGATACAGCTGTATAATGAAGGTAAGGAACTTTTAAGTATGCTTTAAAAATGTCAGACGGGAGAAAGGTCCAGGCGCCAACAAGGCACAAAAGTGACATAAACCAGTGTTCAAATACAAGGAATATTTTTTACAATAGCAATTGTTGCAATAATTGGTATTACCTTGACTGTACTTTCAAAATTCAGTGATGTGAAAATGTGAAAGTAATGATAAATCAGGGGAATTTAGGGAACAAGGAATTGGGCTGGGGAAATAATCACAAAGGGGAAGAGGGGAAGACATAGGATGATGTCAAAACCAAGGCAGAACCCAGCCATTGAGAATGGAATCTTACACTAGGGCACCCTCTCCTGGGCAAAATCTCCCACTGCATCTCAGCTTTCCAGAAATGCCATTGGATATTGCAGAAAATATAACTTTAAAAAAAAAAAAATAGTAGAGGTGGAGAACCTCCTGGCCTGGACATTTCCACTCTAAGTCCATTAACTGAGCTCACAGCATACTTGGCTTGCCTTGTTCTCTTTTCTCAGCCAGGAATACTCTGCATTTTTCTGCTGCATGCAAGGAACATCAATAAGAACTTGCATTTTGAATGCTGCCTGTGTATATTTTTGTTATCTACGTTGAGTCTTTACTATGTGATGGGCCAGAATTCTGCCAGTAAAAATCACAGTGATTTAGTGGCTTATATTTTGGTTTGTTACTTGCTGTTGTATAAGGAAGCATGATGTCTTGGAGTGCTTTTCCCAATTCAATAATGTTCAGTAGAAAGTACCATTACTCTGTTTTTCTGTCTCTGGCACATATGCATGTGCATGCATGTATGCACATGCATCCACACACAGGCATTTCTACACCTGGAAAGCCTAAAGGTAGCTTGAATACTTAGTCCTTTTTCCTGATCAGCAAGAGGGCAGAGGAGACAGACTGGTACCTTGGACAGCGAATGGAATGCTATGCGCATGTTCACAGCATGAAAACTCAAGAACTCATATAAACTGTTTTGCTGCTGACTCCACGCTCATACCGGAAGTCTCCTCAGCCAGAACCGATTTCTTCTGGTGTTGTGGAAATCCAGCCACTAGTTTAGCATGTTGCCTGAACTAAGCCGTAATATTAAACCATCCTATAGTTTCAGTATACCGTGTGAACACAACAGCTGAATATTGCTAACTGAGGCTTAAGAATTTTGTGCATTGTGTGAAAACAGCAGTTTTCTCCCCAAACTCATGCTATTTGTGTGTATTTAGCATGGTATAAATATTTTCAAAAAAGTACACTTCTTGTCTTTCAGAAATATCCAAGATCTTACTAGAGTGAAGACCAGACACCAAACAGATAACATCTCTGGCTCAGTCTCTCAATCTTCTCAGAATGTAAGAACGCTGGAGTGAGGAAACCTATCACGGCGCCTAGAATGAATGGAACTTGCTCGTGCCAAGCAGGAGTTAGATTCAGAGCTCTGATACCCAGAGAAAGGTAAATAGAATTGAAGATGTACTGATTGGAAAGCAGTGGGTTTCCTTCGATCTTTAGATATCATGGAATTAATCCAAATTAAGTTTACCATTATTTGATATATTTACTCAAGAACCAATGACTGCCTATACTTTTTATAGACAGAAGAAAATTATCCTTTTGTATGGAAAACACTCACACTGGTTAACAGTGTGTAAATACTTGTATTTGGCGCAATAAACTCATGACCTGACTGTGTTTTATTTAGAACACATTTTTAATCCAGGTTCATCCCTTTACATAGGTGTGTTTTTGTAACTTATTGAACAAACTAGCTGACTAAATGTTATGTGAACTGAGCTCTGTGGTTAGTTTGTGCTTCAGTACATCCATTACTACTTAATAATGAGTAAGCATTTTATACACATACAACTACTGAGAAACAGCATTAAATTGAATTCAGGTAATAATTGTATTGGGTTTTAGTATACATAATTTAAAACTAGGTTATACTTGATGGATTATGTACTATCTAGTCAGTGTTGACTCTTAGCAACCAAATAGATCTTTCCCAGGATAGCCTATCCCCAACTTGGTCCTTCATGTCTTTCGACAGTGCACCCATCATACAAAATTGAGTCCATCCTCTTCTCTTTCCAACCACCTTTCCCAGCATTATAATTTCTCTAGAGAGCTGGGTCTTCTCATGTGTCCAATGTATAATTTTAGCCTGGTCATTTGTGCCTTGAGTGAGAATTCTGGGTTGATTTGTTTGATGGCCCATTTGCTTGTTTTCTTGGTTATAAATTATAATCCAGTTGATAGAAATTTTAAAATTCATTTATTTTAATCCACATTGGGTGATCATGAGCAACATCTTCCCTGCCAGCTTTCTAATGGAGCAAGAAATCAGTGCCTGAAGTTGGGGAAACTGCTCTTAGTGAAGTTAGTCCTTTTAGCTCTTTCAAATGTAGTCTTGTTTTTAGAACCTCATGTACATAACGATAGTGTAACAATTTAGCCTGAGTCAAGCAGCTGAACTGTCGTAGGAAGCATTCAACCTGAAGGGATCCTGAAGGAAGTCTCCAATCCTCAAATATTCTTCCAAATTCAACTATTATCAAGAAGAAAAAGCCATTTTGCTGTTATGAGACAGGAATGAAATGCAGAGTATAAAATCCCACTTGACAGCTTGGCCTTGGTTGGTTCATTGAAGAACTGGGTTAAAAGAGTAAAGAATTACATGGCTATTAAATGGTGGTTCCTTATACTTTCAGTTCTTCCATAGTACTGGGCTATATCCATCTGTAGCCCAGTGAAGTGGTCACATTCTGACAAGTGAAGCAGGGACACCTGCCCCATAGTTTGCACAACACAAGTAGTTTTCATTTAGTGACCGCAATTAGGACCTGCAACTTGGTCATTAAGTGAAGCAGTTGCTAAGTGAAAAATCATGTGACCACGACTGTACTTACAATTTTACTTCAGCTTTCCTTTGCTTTACAGTGGCAGAAGGATACAACCCCAAACAGCTGGGTGAGCCCAAATGGCAGGGAAGATTTCTGGGACCCGACTCAAAAGGAAGCCAAGTGAAAGGGCAAATCT